AACATTAATCGGGGTTTCTTTTTCGCGCACATGGGTTGGCTCATGTGCCGTAAGCACCCCGATGTTATTGAGCAGGGTAAACTCGTGGACATGAGCGATTTGGCCGCTAACCCCGTGATTAGTTTACAACGTAAATTTTACGTACCTTTAGTGGCGCTAATTTGGGCCGCATTTCCCACATTAACGCCGTATTATATGTGGGGCGAGGGGTTGTGGGAGGCGTGGTTTGTGTGCGTTATGTTCCGGTATGTTTTAATATTGAATATAACATGGTGCGTTAATAGCGCCGCTCATTACTGGGGTTATAAGGTAGTAATTAAGCAATTTGTCATGGTTTAATTTAATTGTACAAATAATGTTATAATGTTTCTGTTTTATTAATAGCCGTATGATAAAACATTAAACCCCGTGGAGTGTAATATACGACACGTAATGTTTGGCGAAGGATTTCACAATTATCACCACACTTTTCCATGGTAAACATTTTATTTAATTACTTTATACATTAATCAGACTTATTAATTACCATAATAACTATATTATTAATAATTAATAAAGTTTTTTCAATGCATTTACAATAAACTAATCAAATATTTTAATAAACATTTATAATTTTATCTGAGTTATTGATAGACATTTGGTTAATTAAGTGCAATGATTAATTTTTAAAAAAATAAATCTATTAGTTGTAAATAATCTAACCCCGATTACACATTCAGGGACTATAAGGCGAGTGAATATGGTCCATTTGTTGGGTTCAACCCGGCCACCATGTTCATAAACACGATGGCTGTGTTGGGTCAGGCGTACGATTTGCGTCAACCCTCAGCCGATATGATTGAAGAGAGACAGAAACGTACCGGTGATATGGCAAACACAAAATTGAGCATGGTCTGGGAGATATGCACCGCGTTGGCTACTGTGCTAATTATTGTATCCCCATTACTGATTCGACTCACGCAACCTTATTAAATTGTATAATTATCATGTAGTATTGTTAGTACTAAATTAATTTTAATTAGTTTAAACTATGATAAATAAATACATAATCATGATTATTTTTTAGTATTGTCATATATTTTTATCTTTAGTTAGTATTTAACAACAAAATTAAAATTACCGGATTGCTTTATAACTATTTAAAACTAAACGTAACTTATTGTAATATTATTTATATTACATGTCTTTAATGGAAAACATGAGTGTCAGCATAAAAATATTTTTAAAATATTTGTTTTGCATTTAATTATAAATTATTAAGTTATTAAATTTAATATAATATTTAAAAATGCAAAAATTAGTATCTAAAATGTGTATATTTAATTATTTTTTATAGAAAATATATTTACTTATTTATTATTTGACAGTATTAAATTGTACATTTTATTGACCCTAGTACTAATAGGGCGGAAATTATTATTGTATATTTAATTGACCAACAAATTATATATGCATTAAAATAATGACAATATTTGTATAAACATATTCCCAAATATAAAGGGATAAAAAGGAGTCGTTATTAATAATATGAGTCTAATGTAATAATACATCAAGCTACTTTTAACTCTAGGTATAGTCTGGCCTGTGCGCAATTTTCTATTTTTAACATTCTCTCTGGATGGTTTGCGGAGATCGTACGCCCAGCCTAACCAAGCAAAAAAGTCGATAAACAATGTTCCAGGGTTAAATGCGACAAACTTTCCATGTTCACATTGTGAATAATCCCTAGGAATTAAACATTATTATATTAAATGAAAATATCCCAATAAATTGGCATTTATTAGAGAGAGAGAGAGAGAGAGAGAGAGAATGAGAAATATTATTTATAAATGTTACTATTAAACTGTAAATGTATCTCAATCAGTATATTTGGTTAGACCAAGCAACTAATTATCAATTGTTTGGGGAAAGACAAGAAGTTCAAATAATTTTTAATATTTTATATTGAATTAAATAGATTTGGTTTGAATGAGAGAAAGAAAGAAAGAAAGAAAGAAAGAAAGAGAGAGAGAGAGAGAGAGAATATTTATAAATGTTACTATTAAACTGTAAATGTATCGTAATTAGTATATTTTGTTAGACTAGACAACTAAATATAAATCCTTTGGGTTAACTTAAGTCATTATAATTTGCAC